ATATACTCAACATAAATACAGTGATCACTTGCTGATCGGCTCATCTTTATTTATTATTTCAGATTAGCAGCAAGCAGAAGTACTATAGGACCTGGCAAATGAGTTCCCTACCAATGGGAGTCCTACTGAGGTTTAAGGGTGTGTGTGATCATGTATATGTGTACATTATGCATATATGTGCAGACCACTTGAGGATCATCCAAGCACTTCCAATACTGCAGTAAATTTGCAAAAGGAAAAAATAATTGTATTCACATTTTGTTTCAGAAGATAACATTAGAAGGAAATTAAATCCCTGAAGCAAACAAAGAAAGAGCCAAGCAGCAACTGTAAACAGTTCTATAAGAAGAGAAGAAAAATTCCTTCTTATCTTCCATTAATTAATATTTCATATTTGTCTCTATTAAGAATTCTGTCAACAGAGGCTAGACTCTGTATATTGTGGCCCTCATGAGTTTCAGTTTAATTCACTGGCCTTTACACTTAATCAAATGAAATGGGAAACTCCTAGTCATTCCTTCACATAGAGGAGCTGAAGTGGTGAGTGGATACTGTCTTCAGTGTCTAGGACCCAGGACCTTAGACATCTGTGTGAGTTCTACCCGTTTGGCCTTATGGGTGGCTCATGTGATCTAGTCTCAGAAATAGTATTAAGCAGCAGCATTAGCTAACATGTACTAAACACTGAATCTGTTCTAACTACTGGTCTAAATACTATCTCCTTAAATTCTCAGAGCAATTCTGAAGTATCATTATCTCAGTTTTCCAGAAGAAACAGGTACAAAGGCACACAAAGAGCAGTGGCAGAGCCTAAATCCAAACTTAGTCATGATTTTAACTACTGTATCATATTTCATCAGGGTTCTTCTCCATGTGTTGTCAGGTGCCTCGCCCCAAGACAACTCGATTTCTTAGCCAGAAAATGGGGCTAGACATCAAGGCCTAGTGGTCCCCATGTAGAACACTGGAGTCATGTCAAATATCCCTGCTTTTGCCTGGGCTTGGAGTAGAGGCCTATGGATGGTAACATAAATTCAGAGCCCTCTCTCACTTATGATACCAGGATGCAGTAACAATCCCTTTTCCACACCTGACTGCATGAAGGATTTCTGGTTGATGCAAATCTGGTGCCATTCTTATTTCTAACCTGTTCGCTTTCATTGAAAAGGCAAACATTGATTGTTAGGAAAGAAACAGTGTGGGGAACAGTAGGAAAATAATGTTGGGAAGTTTGGTCTAGTAGGTAGCTGGTCTGGTACACTGAACACCAAATCCCTTCTTCCTCCATTTCTATCCCATTTGGAAAGAGTCTGACGGGTAAGAAAATTGGAATAGAGGAAGTGGTGTTGAATGAAGAGGAGAGGAAAGAAGGATGGAAGAAAAAAAAGAAATAGAAGAAAGGTACTTAGAAGAGGACTGGAGGAGGCAATATAGATAGAAGACCTTCCTTGGTCACTTTAGAGTTAAGATTGCCATCAAGCCATCCTATCCAATAACTCTTGAGTCCCACCATAACCAGTGTATTTGTCTGTTCTCACACTGCTATGAAGAAATACCCGAGACTGGGTAGTTTTTTTTTTTTTAATTTTTTTTTTAGCCAAGATTTAATCTTTTTTTTCTATTATGCTTTAAGTTCTAGGGTACATGTGCACAACGTGCAGGTTTGTTACATATGTATACATGTGCCATGTTGGTGTGCTGCACCCATCAACTCATCAGCACCTATCAACTCGTCATTTACATCAGTTATAACTCCCAATGCCATCCCTCCCCCCTCCCCCCTCCCCATAATAGGCCCCGGTGTGTGATGTTCCCCTTCCCATGTCCAAGTGATCTCATTGTTCAATTCCCACCTATGAGTGAGAACATGCGGTGTTTGGTTTTCTGTTCTTGCGAAAGTTTGCTGAGAATGATGGTTTCCAGCTGCACCCATGTCCCTACAAAGGACACAAACTCATCCTTTTTCATGGCTGCATAGTATTCCATGGCGTATATGTGCCACATTTTCTTCATCCAGTCTGTCACTGATGGACATTTAGGTTGATTCCAAGTCTTTGCTATTGTGAATAGTGCCACAATAAACATATGTGTGCATGTGTCTTTATAGCAGCATGATTTATAATCCTTTGGGTATATACCCAGTAATGCGATGGCTGGGTCATATGGTATTTCTAGTTCTAGATCCTGGAGGAACCACCATACTGTTTTCCACAATGGTTGAACTAGTTTACAATCCCACCAACAGTGTAAAAGTGTTCCTATTTCTCCACATCCTCTGCAGCACCTGTTGTTTCCCGACTTTTTATTGATTGCCATTCTAACTGGTGTGAGATGGTATCTCATTGTGGTTTTGATTTGCATTTCTCTGATGGCCAGTGATGACAAGCATTTTTTCATGTGAGACTGGGTAATTTATAAAGAAAATAGGTTTAATTGTCTCACAGCTTTGCATGGCTTGGGAGACCTCAAGAAACTTACAATCATGGTGGAAGGCACCTCTTCACAGGGCAACAGGAGAGAGAATGAGTCCCAGCAGGGGAAATGCCAGACACTTATAAAACCATCAAATATTATGAGATTCACTCATTATCATGAGAACAGCATGGGGAAAACCGCCCTCACGATTCAATTACCACCACCTGGTCCTGCCTTGACACATGGGAATTATGGGGATTACAATTCAAGGTGAGATTTGGAGGGGGACACAGAGTCAAACCATATCACCTATAAATTTTATAGACTTTCCCTACTATCTCTCTTCTTATCTGTAGGATGTTGGAAGTCTGCATGACTATCTTACAATTTTACAACCATATTGATGTAGAAAGTTATTCTGTATCAGCAATGTTTTTGCCTGAAATATTGGATTCAAATATAATGGTGGTTTCTTCCATTAATGAATGTATTTTGTTTTATGTATTTGGGGATAGGACAATTGGAGGTCATTATGTCACACAGTAGGTATAGGGCCTTTGCTTCTTTAGCCAATGAGCCTGGAAATGTGTCTGAAGGGAGAAACCTTAAGGGAGCATATTCTGGGTTCTGAAGTTTTGTCTCTTCTCCTTCAAGTACAGAAATAGCTCCAAAGAATCCTCTGCTCTAGATGAGACCCCAGCTATTTAAAACACAGTTCTAGTTTCAGAGACATGTTATTTTCTGATTAAACTTGGGAGTAAATTGTGTCTTTTGGTGAATTGATTATAGTGTTGATTATTATTAAATGATACTCATAGTCTCTTCTCAAAGTGGGAATGTTTAAGGATGAATGTAGTGGCCTTAAGTATATTGAACACATAAATGCCTGAGTAGGGGCACAATATATTAAGCCTAAGGAATGGTTCTGGAAAGTGGGAAATCAATGAGAGCTAAAATACATTTGGGCCAAAACTCAGGTCTGGATGAGTACAGCTAATATGATACAGATGGAGTAGATGTGTTCCCTACCTTTCTGTGAAAGAAAAGAAATAGCACCATAAACTGCAGTAGCCAGCTCTATTATAGACATACATCAAGTCTTGTGTAGGCTTTACTCCTGTTAACTGTGTTACTAGTGTGCTCAATTCAGGTCAGCTGTGGTGGGCTGGAGTGAGACTTGTTTGGTTTACTGTAATCTTGAGGTGTCTGGTAGGCTGAAATGGGCTTTGCAAGGCTGGGATAGCCTGCCTTATCTCATGCTCCATTTGAGGTATGCAGGAATGGGTAGGCTAACTGGGCTGCAGTGGGGGTAAATAGGGCTGAGAGAAGCAGGAAAAGAGAAACTCAGTAGTGGAAAAACTTCACTTCTCTGGGTAACTGCTGTTCTGGATGTTTTTGTCTCCCCACAATCTGTATGCTGCAATTTATGTGATAGTACTAAGAGTTGAGGCCTTCAGAAGGCGATTAGGTCAGGAGGGCTCCACCCTCATGATTGGTATTAGTGCTCTTATAAAAGAAGCTTGAGCAAGCTCCCTAGCCCCTTCCATTATGTGAGGACATGGAAGTCACCATCTATGAGGAATGGACCCTCACCAGACACTGAATCTGCTGGTGCCTTGATCGAAGACTTCCCAGACTCCAGAACTGTGAGCAATGAATTTATGTTCTTTATAAATTACCCAGTCTGAGGTATTTTGTTGTAACAGCCTGAATGGACTAAGACAGTATTAATTTCCAATTTGGCAAATATGCGATGTGTGATGAGATTAATCCATTCATGCAAAACTTGATGTTTAATGAGCACCATCTGAGTAATAAACCTTTCAGAAGTTCTTGGGTTAGGTGGGAAGATTGACAAGTAAAACAAATGGTTACAGTGAAGGAAAATCAATGCAAAGAGTGTATCAAATGATATCAATTATCTCCAAATATGGGACACTTAACCCCCCAAAAGATTATTTCTCAGTCATGCAAAGTCTATTGTGGATCCAGGCAACTCTCCAGGGCAGTGGGTCCTCCATATATTAGCTCATCATTCCAGACTTTTTCAGTTTTATTGTAGCACCACATCAATGTGTGTTTTTATGATCATCATGGCATGGAAGGTCTTGCATTAGACATTAATTGTTCCAGCCATGAGACACACATATTACTTTCTCCCACAGCCAGAACCATTCCTATTGCCCCTCTCTACTTTAAAAAGACAGGGGAGTGGAAGCACAATCATCCTATCTTCCTAGAAGTGGAAGAGTGTTGGATATTGCAACATTTGTAACCTACTACAGGTAAGGGTAAGCCCAGTGAGAGCTCAGCTCCTGTGAATGTCAGGGATCTCTAAGGACCCTATCTAAACTTTGTTGTTTTGGTATTCTGCTGTCATTTTCAATGATATCTAAAGGGATAGACTTTGAATCTGTACCCAGCATGTTCCCTGTGAAGAGATAGCACAGATGAGAAGTTTTTGAGGGGTTTTCCTTTCTCAGAAGGAGTAAGTTGGCTGTCATTCAGAGTACTGCACTGGACTCTCTCTGAGCTAAGACAAAAACCTTTCCTGACACTCTGCTTTTCTACTTTCTTTCACGCAGATGCAGTGACTGAAGTGAAGACTGACATCTACGTGACCAGTTTTGGCCCTGTGTCAGACACTGACATGGTAAGTTCTTGCAAAGTTAAATGTAAAAGAGGATGCACTAGACCAAAGAAAATAAATTGGAGCTTTCCTAAGGCAGGGCCTTGTAGCTATATTCTAAGGAGTGGTCTTTTCTCATACGAATTTCCTACCCTCGCCACCCTACATTTAGCCAATCCATCTTTGCCCTGCTCTCCTCACCTATTCACATGTAATATATACAGCCCTTTCAGGGGTGCCCTTATCTTTCTCCCATGACACATCGTTCAAAACTTGGTTTGGCTCCCTATCCTCAATTAAACCTTCCCTCACTTCTCCCTTCACACTCTGCTGGCACCACACATACTGGTACAGATAGGTCATATTAGGAGAGAATTGTGGTGGGGATTCTCAGTAAAGCAGCTTAGTAAAACAGACTTTCAAGAAGTCTGTTCCTTGCAACTGGGCTTCATCCACTAGGGACATGGACTGGCCAAAATGATACAAATAGTTTGGAGAAAGAATCTAAATCACTTCTGGAAACTATTCTTTGTACAGATTTGGGCATGGAGAGAGTTTCACTGCAGACTCAAAAAGGGATAGGGCAGGGCACAGCAGAGCTAGCAAAAGGTGGCCCCTTTTCTCACCATTATCCATTGTCTTCAAAACAAAGAATACAGTGGAGAGTTGAAGCAGAAGGCCCCACTCAAATAGATAACCTATCAATATATAGTGAGTATCAAATATTCAACTGAATAATTATGATTTAGAGACACAAAGAAGCTATTATCTGCTTTATATACCTGGCCATTATTAGATGCTCAATAAGTTTTTGTTGAATGACTGACTTTGTGTTGCAAATAAAAATCCTAGTATCAGGGAAAATATATTTGAAGATAATGAAATGCCCATGTTCACTACTTAGAGTTTTTTCTGTATGTCTATTTTCAGTGGAACTACTACTTGGCAGGGGACAAAGCTTCTTTCCACCTGTTGGACTAACACAAACAGTTGTATAGGGAAGTGGTAGAGGTTTTCTTATAGGTAATGCAGAGCCATTGGGTAGATTTTGTTAGGACAGTAAAAATATATGTGTTGTTTTGGAATGATTGATCTGGTGGTCTGTGCAGGATGGAGTACAAAGGGGAAAAGTCTGGAGCCTGACAGTTGATTTAGGCCTGTTGATTTTACATGACTCTTCAATCAGCTGCAAGATCTAGGAGTCAGTTGGAAATGCTGGCTAGTTCTCAGGAGAAGAAATAATCAGTATGTGAATGTTTGGAAGTCCAGGCACGGGTAAAGGAGAGGTCTGAACCTTGTCTTTCAAGTGTAGAATAAAGAGAAGGGTACATTAGACTTCCTTTGAACTCCTCTAGGGCAAGTACCAAGTTTCCATGGCTTCCCTGGCACTTAACAGCATTTGACACACAGGGAGAGCTCATTAAGGGGTATGTATGATATGAAGAATGGAGGACATGGCTCTTTCTTAGGGATAGCAAGAAAGCCTGTATGTCTTCCTTACCCTCTGTCAACTTGTTGACTAGTAATTCCCACAGGCATGTGTTAAAATCCAGGCATGTGTTAAAATTGTTGCCGGTTGATCATTCAACAAGTACTCCTTAGGAGCCCAACTATGCATTAAAGGGCCCTAGGAAGCTCTATATTTAGAGATCTCACAGGCCATTGGAAACAACCATACTCACTAGGTGTATGTAGCTCTTTTTCTATTGTTGGGAATTAATTAGGATGTTTATAAAAAAGATAAATGAAGTGGCTCTTCACACACACATACACTCACTCACTCATTTTCATTCATGCACCAACAACCACAAATAACATTCAGACAAATATACATACACATAACAAATACATATAGGGTACACAGCCCACACACTATTCTAGAAATTCTATAGACACACACAGGCAAACAGATACCTAAACCCAGGCATACCAGAGAAGGACACACACAGTCCCTGTTCCAGCCAGCTCCTCACTCTGCTGCTTCCTCACCATAGCAGGTGTGTATGGGTGTGCCCAGGCTCTGGAGACATTTCTAAAAATTGGAACTTTCTGTCTATCTCTCTTGAAATTTCATGTTAAATTGCTTGTTAGTTCTTATTCTACATTATTTAGCTGAAGCAACAGAATGGCACCTTCCTGATACAGAGGGCAGAGTTTGATCAAATGAATTTCACATTATTTTTAGCTGCATGTCCATCCTGTCACAAGGCAGAATAACTACAATCACTCTGGCTAAAAAGCATATTTCGGGTGTTTTGAGAAATGTTTTTTTTTGTACTACTAAGTAGATTGTTCAATTGATCCCAGGGTCAGGGATGCATTTGGGTAAAACATTAGGCAGTCTTCTGACTTTGGCAACTAGTTTCACCAAGAATGCAGGCTCCCCTGAGACCACAGACTACTTGGAAAAGTTGATGAAAATATGGGCTGCCTGGATTCTTTGCTCATTTCCAGGAAAAGAGGGAGTTTTGGCCCAAAATGCTTTCCTAAGGAAATAGAGGCAGTCTTTTGTTCATAAAGGGGGAAATTATGCTGCCACTTTGAACATTGACATACCACCACCCATAATATTTTACACCCACTACATTCCTTGGCCAAATACTGGCCCTTACAGACACAGCTTCTCAGCATTTTTGACAAAAGCTCCATGAAGGTATAAGCCATGTCTGTTTTGTTCATCCCAATACCATAAATGTCTGACTCAGTGTTTGGTACATGGTAAACTCCCAACTTTTTATTAAGTGCAAGAATAAATGAGATGGAACAAATCAAATTTGAGGGAAAAATAATGACTGTGTTCCTCCACTTAGCTGAAAAATTTTCAAAGACAGAAAACATGTCAGGGACATCTCTGTTTCTCCAGTATTTAGCACAGAACCTGACAGAGGTCCTCTGTATGTGTTTGTTGAGATGATATTAAACATTAGTTGCAAGCCTTTCAGATAAAGAGTGAAAATAGCTTTCCTCAGGAGACAATGGTGATTATTAAGACTGGTGAGTCAATGATTGATGACTCCAAGCTTCAGCTACTAGGTTTGGTGGCTTCTCCACTCATGAAAATAAGGAACTATGACAGCAGGGAACTGAGCAAAGATGAAAGCTAAACATTGGTAGATGTTTCTAAGAAGAAAGTCAGAAGGAAAAAAAAAAAGAAATTTAATTCAGGGTACAAGAGATAAGTTGAAAAATGGTTGCCCTGGCAGTTTCACAGGCTCGTGGTGAGGGTTGTGTTATTCATTTGCAACAAATTGAGCTTCCTGGTCACACAAAGCATCTTAGCTCCTCAGTAGTAATGCCAATCCTGTATCCATGATCTCCTAGGAGAGAAACAGAACAAAAAAGACTATCCCAATTTGAGTGAACTGGGGCCATGCAACCTTCTATAATTATCTATTATTAGGAGAGTTTAGACCATTTTCTCCATCAGATGTATAGGAAGAGGGTGAAAGTGGCAATAAGAGAAAGGTTGCAAAGAATCAGAATGCAGAGAGAGTGGGCAAGTGGCTTAGGAATATAATTCTAGGCATATTGTTGGTCACTGGAAGGAAAGCAGAAAAGTAACAGCTGAGAAAAACATTGGCTGCTCTTCTATCTGGTCCAAATTCCCTTCTGACTTAGCTTCCATCCTAGCTCTCAAGATCCTAAGGCTCCAGGCACTGCTCCACCTTCTCTTCTAGTCCTTGAGCATGTCAGAGGTGCAGGAACCCAAGGTCCCGTGGTGTGTAATCAACAAATAGTTATCTGAACTATACCAAGAAAACTAGTGAGAAAATAAAGAGGGAAAAGAGGAGTAATGTTAGGAGAGTAAGGGAGATAATAACTGGGAAACTTAAAATGCCAATTTTGGTATTATTAACCTCACCCTCTCCCCAGGAACACTTTGCTTAGATCCCACTAGGTGCCAGCTAGTGCCACTAGCGTCAGCTGCCACGGAGAAATTTTCTGGGGTATACAGTGGACAATCAGGTAATAGTGCAAGTATACAATACAATGAAAGAACTAACCATCCAGCTTAATGAGCAAAATAAAATGGAATCCTGGGAAATAAGAACACAGAAGAGAACATTATAGTAATAATTCTAGATAACAGATTCATATAACATTATGATATGACAACTGCTTATGAAAATTATGCAGTTATCCTAGTACCCAAACGCCATGCAGAAAAAAAAAAAATGTGTTAATTAAAAGGACAGTAGCACAGGGATCTCTTTCTTGGTGGCAGTAGACTTGAAATTATTTTACCTGTTTTCTCTCTAGTAGTGGAAAAAGTAGCTATGTCTACTTCAAGTTCTCCCTTACTGGCAGTCTGAGGCCCAGACTGGATGAGAATCTTTGTCTATTTTAGGCTTTCAATTTATTCTTATTCCACAGGATATGGCATTTCCAGATGCAATATAGAAAGGAATCCATGTCCTTGAGCTTTTTCTAGGAGTCTATGACCAGGAATCTCCTTGGATATTTTTATGTAACATGAACAGCCAGGACATATAAACAATGCCAATAAGACTATTTCATGGGCTAAATACATCTGAAATCAGGATATCGATTATGTTTCTTCAAAATAGGGAATGATGAAGAGAAGGTGAAGAGCAGAGGAAAGATGGGATGGCCAAAATAAGAGGGAGTGGCCCTTGTAATGGGAAAATGGCAAGGCCTTCATTGTAATGCAGTTAAAAGTACCTTGGCCCCATACACTGCTAAAGCTGAATAAACTTTGCAGGCTTTATCTGGGAGCCTGCTTTGACACATCGAACAGTGTTAGAGAGTCGAAGCCATTCAAGCTCTAACAAGACAGAAATGCTTCCCCAAGAACTAAGTGTCATCTCTGCCCTGTGTAGAAAATGTATTAAGTGTCTTTCCCAGGAGGCAGACTTAGGCTTATTATCTGGAAGATGTGATTTAAATGCCTCACAAAACAACAGAATTCATTTGTCAATTCGTAGGCAGTCATCCTTGGAGCATATACAAGGGATCAATTTTCAGGGAAGGAATTGATTACATTTCTAGAATGGTTAGGTCAA